GAGAGCCTTGGAGGGCCCTCAGGAGGGCTCCTGGGGAGCTCCTGGGTGGCTCCTGAAGAGCTCCTGAAGGGTTCTAGAGGTCCTGGGGGGCTCCAGGAGGGCTTGGGGCGGAGCTAATTCACAGTGGCGCGCGCCCTGGGTGGGCCCTGGGGGGCTCCTGGGGTGCTCATGGGGGGCTCCTGGGAAGCTCCTGGGGAGGCTCCTGGAGGGTCTCGGGCGGGAGCTAATTCACTGGAGGTGCCTCCTGGAGGGCTTCGGGCGGGAGCTAAAACACCGTGGGGCGGCGCCCTGGGGAGGGCTCCTGGGGAGCTCCTGGGGGGGCTCCTGGAGGGCCTCGGGCGGGAGCTAATTCACCGTGGCGCGCGCCCTGGGGGGTGCCCTGGGGTGCTCCTGGGGAGCTCCTGGGGGGCTCCTGGTGAGCTCCTGGGGTGGGCTCCTGGAGGGCCTCGGGCGGGAGCTGATTCACCGTGGCGCGCGCCCTGGGGGAGCCCTGGGGGCCCTGGGGGGGCTCCTGGGAGTGCTCCTGGGGCTCCTGGGAGGGCTCCTGGAGGGCTTCGGGCGGGAGCTAATTCACCGTGGCGCGCGCCTTGGGGATGCCCTGGGGGGGTTCTGGGGGCCTGGGGAGCTCCTGGGAGGGCTCCTGGAGGGCCTCGGGCGGGAGCTAATTCACCGTGGCGCGCGCCCTGGGGGTGCCCTGGGGTGCTCCTGAGGGGGCTCCTGGGGGGCTCCTGGAGTGCCTCGGGCGGGAGCTCATTCACCGTGGCGCGCGCCCTGGGGATGCCCTGGGGGGCTCCTGGGGTGCTCATGGGGGGCTCCTGGGAAGCTCCTGGGGCGGGCTCCTGGAGGGCTTCGGGCGGGGGCTAATTCACCGTGGCGCGCGCCCTGGGGAGGCCCTGGAGGGCTCCTGGTGGGCTCCTGGGAGGGCTCCTGGAGTGCCCCTGGGAAGGCTCCTGGAGGGCCTCGGGCGGGAGCATAATCGCTTGCGCGTAAGCCGCATCATTGATAATGAGATAAGGCCCTCGCGGGCCCTGCCTGACGGCAACCGAGACTCAACCTGGACAGGGCCTGTCATTCACGCTCGGCCGGGAGGTAGTCTGACTGCGAGGTGCCAGTTAGGGCGCTTGCCGCCTAAATGGGTGGGTGGATACGGGCCAAGCGGCCCTGGGCGAGTTTAGGGTTTAGGGTTTAGGGTTTAGGGCCTGCATTGGCGCAAGCGCGCGCTGGCTGCGATCCCCCCCACATCAAGATTGTTGGGGGGGATCGCTGCCCAAGCCGCGCGCGCCACGGTTAGTCGCACTCCCGCCCCAGACCACCCAGAGTGAAGCCTTTTAGGGTTTAGGGTTTCTCCCCCCAACCCCCCTATCACGGGGGGCTGTCGAAGTGGCGCGCGCAGGCGATCGCCAACGCGGCCGTGGCACTGCGCATCCACGTGAGCACGCGCGCAGGGCGCGTGGCGTAGGCGGCGCTTCGGCTCGTCGCCCCGTCGAAGAGGCAACCGTTGGCGATGGCGGTCATTATCTTCGCCGTTGGGCTGCCGCTGGCGCAGCATGTCCATGCGTTGCCGCCTTTGCCTTCGGCACTGGGTTGTGACGCTGGGCTGCGAATGCTGGGAAGCGCGCGCGGCCGCGGCCGTAGCAATGCGCGCCGATGCGAGCACGCGCGCAGGGTGCATGGCGCTGGCGCGCCAGCTCGCCTCGTCGATGAGGCAGCCGTTTGCGCCTTCGGCGTGAAGCTTCGCCGTTGGGCTGCCGCTGGCGCAGCAGATCCACCGGGGTCTGGCATTTGCCGTCGGCATTGGAAAGCAGCACTGCAAGGGCGCTGGCGTGACAATACTATGGGTTCCCCTGCGCTTCAAGCGAGTGTTTGCGCTCTCGGGCTCCTCGCTGACGGCGACGCGCACGGCAGTTGCATTCGCCCGCGGCTTTGGGTTTCGCCTTTGGGGTCGCCCCCCCCGCTGAAGCGATTGCAATCATCGACGCAGCCGCCTTCGGCGCGAGCTTCGGACGGCTGGAGGGGGAGCGCGAGGGGGTGGGTCTGGCACCCCCTCGCTACGATGCGCGCGCATGGCTGCGGCAGCACCTCCACGGCAGAGCTCGTGGAATGCTTGGGGGGGGGCCTTCTGGCAGCGCTGGGAGGAGCCCTGGGACTGCCTGGAACTGCCTGGGCACGCTTGGGAGCGCGCGGGAGCGCATGGGAGCGCCGCGTGGCGCCTTGGAGCGCTTGTGGGTGCTGAAAAGCGCGTGGGAATGCTTGGGCGCTTGGGAGCACCTGGGAGCGCAGGGGAGCGCTTAGGAGCGCTTCGGAGTTGTGGCAGCGCTGGGAACGCTGGGGAGCGCCTGCGAGCGCCTGGGAGCGCGCCAGGAGCGTGCCGGGAGCGCTTGGGAGCGCCTGCGAGCGCCTGGGAGCGCCTGGGGGCGTGCCGGGAGCGCTTGGGAGCGCCTGGGAGCGTCTAGGAGCGCAGCCAGCGCGCGCCTGGGAACGCGCCTGGGTGCGTGCCGGGAGCGCCCAGGAGCGCTTAGAGCGCTTGGGAACGCTTGGGAGCGCCTGGGAGCGCTTGGGAGCGCGTGGGAGCGTGCCGAGAGCGCCTGGGAGCGTGCCGGGAGCGCCTGGAGCGCCGTGGAGCGCTTGGGAGCGTGCCGGGAGCGCCTGGGAAAGCTTGGAAGCGCCTGGGAGCGCTTGGGGGCGCTTGGGAGCGCCTGGGAGCGCCTGGGAGCGCCTGGGAGCGCCTGGGAGCGCCTGGGAGCGTACCGGAAGCGCTTGGAGAGTCCTTGGGAGCGCCTGGAGCGTCTGGAAGCGCTTGGAGCGCCGCATGCGGTAATTTCATACGTTTGGAGCACCCAGGGAGCGCCGCATTGTGTATTTTCATAGGTTTGGAGCCCCAGGGGATGTAGCGGACCGTGGCGAAGCCGCTTGCTAGGGCTGAGGGTTAGGGGTTCCTTTTCTTCGGAGAACACCACGGGGATGCACCGCGCGGCGTGCGAAGGCCTCCTCAGCGGCTATCGCCGCTTCGTCGGTGCGGCGAACGCCGTATGGGCAGGCTCGCTGAGCGCTCGGCCAGGCGCCACGGGCTTCTGACGATGCACCGCCCGTGGCTTGCAGTTTAGGGTTTAGGGTTTAGGGTTTAGGGTTTAGGGTTTAGGGCTTCTCTTAGCGCAGCGGCCGACAGTGCAGGCAATGCTGCCCCCCCTTCGGCAAGCTTGATTGGGGGGGGCGGTTAGCCGACCCGAGCAAGTTTGGCGAAGGGAGCAGGAGTTGCAACATCTCCCCACCCCTGGCCGCATGGCCGGCGACCTCCCAAACTAAAGCCTTTTAGGGTTTAGGGCCGTTGGCCCCTAAATTCCCAAATGGCTCCAAGCGCTCACAGGCGCTCCCTGGCGCTCCCATGCGCTCGCAGGCGCTCCCAAGCGCTTCCAGGCGTTCCCAGGCGCTCCCAGGCGCTGTCAGGCGCTCCCAGGCGCTCCCAGGCGCTCCCCGGCGCTCCCAGGCGCTCCCAAGCGCTCCCTGGCGCTCCCAAGCGCTCCATGGCGCTCCCAGGCGCTCCCCGGAGCTCCCAGGCATCCCCAGGCGTTCCCAGGCGCTCCCCGGCGCTCCCCGGCGCTTCCCGCGCTCCCAGGCGCTCCCAGGCGCTCCCCGGCGCCCCCAGGCGCTCCCAGGCGCTCCCCGGCGCTCCCAGGCGCTCTCAAGCGCTCCCAGGCGCTCCCCGGCGCTCCCAGGCGCTCCCAGGCGCTCCCAAACGCTCCCAGGCGCTCCCAGGCGCTCCCAAGTGCGCCCAGAAGCGCTTAGAGCGCTCCACACGTGTTTTTACGTGTCGGAGACATGTAGAGCGGAACCCGAGGACGAAAAGTCCCCGGGTTTAGGGTGTTGTATTCTTCGAGGATCAAGCATGGTTTATCTTTGCATCGTAGATCCCCAAGCGTGGGGTTAGGTAGCCCTAGGCTACCAGGACGACCCAGTCGGGCAACCAGCTGAAGCATCTCAGAGAAGCCCTGTCTCTCGTAGACGGCGACGGTGATGCGCGGTGGGTGGGCAGATGCACAACGAGGTGCTTGGGAATTTAGGGTTTTAGGGTTTAGGGTTTAGGGTTTAGGGTTTAGGGCTTCTCGGGCGCGCAGCGGCCGACAGTCCAGGCAAGGCTGCCCCCCCTTCGGCAAGCTTGATTGGGGGGGCGTTTCGCCGACCCGATCAAGCTTGGCGAAGGGGGCAGGAGGTGCAACATCTTCCCACCCCCGGCCGCATGGCCGGCGACCTCCCAAACTAAAGCATTTTAGGGTTTAGGGCCGTTGGCCCCTAAATTCCCAAATCGGCTCCAAGCGCTCCCAGGCGCTGCCTGGCGCTCCAAGGCGCAGAGAAGGTGTGATATTGCAGGTGCGCGTGTATGTGCGCACTTATGTATTTGGTGATGTGTGTGCGCAGCTGCGTATATGCATGCATGCATGCACGCGCGGGAGTTTGTAAATGCATACGCTTACGTTGACGTTGCCACTCATGCTACCGGAAACGCACACGTATTACGTGTTGCTTATGTCTACGATAACATTCGTCCGCCACGCCACTGTGCGTGGGTCTTGAGTGAATGGGCTTCTGTGTCGGAGCTTTGTTGAGCTGCTGGAGCCACCTGGGAGTGGCTTGCAGGCGCACGAAGGGGTTATCATCTAGACGCACGAGTTGCTTGGGCATCGGTCCAGGAGAAATATTGGGGCGCATCTTGCGCAGAGGAGAATAGAGACAGATGTATTGGCGATGCGCTGCAGTAAGGTTATTCGGAGGAGGGAGTGTTTCGTGGGGATGGGCATGGCCGATGCAAGGGCGATGCGCGCGGTGTCGCAACGGATGACGGCGGCCGAGTCGCATGGTGGGTTTTTTTTTTTGTGCCGCAGCAGGAAATTTGCGAGAGGCCGAAGGTCTTCCGTAAACATTGTTGCTCAAGACTGGTTGGTGACTCTCTCGCAACACACGAAGCCAGATCCTCGAATCTGCACTGCGCTACACGCTTGTCTGCAATGGCTCAGTGGGGCAACGCGTGGGGCGGAGCTGGCGATTGGGGCAAGGGCGGATGGGCAGAGGGAGCATGGGGCCAAGGCAAAGGATCCGGATACACTTGGGGCAAGAGCAAAGGCAAGGGCAAGGGCTGGAAGTCCAAGAACCAGGACGACGGCGACATGTGGGAGCAGAACACGGCGGACCATACAGGTCGCATATGGCGTCGCTACCAGTTGCCTTGCGCTCTGCTCCGCGCGTCGGTTGACCCAAAATCTGGGTCGTGCTTCGTGGCAGAGAACAAGAAGCAGCGCAAGAGCGACATGAAGATGCTCGACGATGAGAACATGCTGAAGTTATTGACCCCGAGCAATGCCCATTTGCTTCGCCGCGTCGGCACTGGGCTTTCCGAGGCCGCGGGCAACATTGAGGCCCTGATCAAGGTCGCCCAGTGCACGGAGAATAGAGCGTTGGTGGCGATGATGAAGGCCATTGACGATGCGGGGGATGAGTTGCAGGAAGCCTTGGCCGCGATCAACAGCTTCGGCAAGGCGAAGCTCACTGCAGAGGACTACTCGAAGGCTTTCGATACCGTGGCGACGTTCATCAAGGAGAACGAGGAGGCATTGGAGAAGGGCTCCATCGCCGGCATGGTCATGCACGGACGAGGCTATCTGGGAGCCTGTGCTCTCCGCCAGTTGATCGTGTGCGTGAAGCACCCGGAGTGGTGGTCGAACCATATCCCCGAGTCGTTGTCGGCTTCGAAGACCGTGGCGCAGTGGAAAAAGAAACCCAAAGACATGAAGCGCATGAATGCGGCGATGGGAGCTTTCATGGAGAAGAAGGCCGAAGCAGACGACGAGCATCGGAATAAGGGGAAGGACGACTACGAGGCCTTGATGCAGGGCGGCGGCAAAAAGAAGCGCAAGGAGGAGTCGTCGGAGGAGTCCTCGGAGACGTCCTCGAAGAAGCGCAAGAAGAAGAGCAAGAAGGCCAAGAAGGACAAGAAGAAAAAGAAGAGCTCGTCCTCAGAGAGCTCGTCCTCGGCGAAAGACAAGAAAAAAAGAAGACGAAGAAGCAGGGCAACTCCTCGGACGATAGCGCCAAAGAGAAGAAGGAGAAGAAGTCCAAGAAGGCCGACGTGGACAAGAATGGCGAGCAGCCGGCGAAGCGCAACGCGGAGGAGAAGGCGCAGCGCGAGGCAGACAAGAAGGCGAAGCGCGAGACGGAGGAGAAGGCCAAGCGCGAGGCGCAGGAGAAGGCGAAGAGCGAGGCGGAGAAGAAGAAGACGCCGATGGAGAAGTGGGGCGTCGACTCGGTCAGACAGTTCAAGGACAAGATCGAGGCGTATGACAAGCAGCGAGGGACAGAGGACTTCATCGCGATGATCGAAGCGCCTCCAATGGACCTGTTGCTGAAATTCTGCTCGGCCTTGGGCGAACTGCCGATCGGCCAGGACACGTGCGCCTCGATGGCCGAGGCAAAGCTGGAGGACAAGGGGTGGGAGAAGCACGTGCGCGGCCAGCTTGGCAAGCTCTGCGAGGTGGCGTGGCAGGAGCTGAAGGTGGAATGCCAGCCCTGAGGAAGCGGTCTCCCGCTGGGCATAGCCTCCCCGCGTAGGAGTTCCGGGGAGCCGCGAGCGCTGGAGCGTCGCCGTGCCGCCGAGGGAGAGTTGCGATGGTATACTGCGGAGGCGGTTCTTCATATTTGGAGCCTGCGCTGAGAGCGCTTCAACGACGGGTGATTTTCCGAATCTGTACACGAGCGCGCTGTTCCCGTTCTGCGCTCGGCCCATGAAGAAATACAATCGGCCGCCCTCCCGTGATCTTGCCGAAGAGAGCGCAGGGGCATCAGAAGAGCTCACAGAGGCACCCGACGGGTGCTACAATAGGGAGGTGCGTTGTTTCACCCGTAGGGGCCGTGGGGGAGGCTCCAGAATGGCGCAAGAGGGGTCCAAGGCGCTCCATAGCTCCCAAGGCAGCCCCAAGAGAACTCCGAAGACGGCTCAAACAGAAGCCAACAGGGGCCGCAGAAGAGGTCATAAACAGCACCCGACGGGTGCTACAATAAGAGGGTCCCTTGTAGCACGTGGGGGCTCCGTTGGGAAGACTCCAAAAGCGAAGAGGGCCGCAGGGCGCCCCATAGCTCCAAAGAGAGCCCCAAGAGAGCTACCAAGACGGCTCAAACACAAGCAAGCAGGGGCCTCAGAAGAGCTCAGAGAGGCACCCGACGGGTGCTACATTAGGGGGGTCCGTTGTAGCACCCGTGGGGGCCCCGTTGGCAAGGCTCCAGAATCGCGCAAGAGGGCCGCAGGGCGCCCTATAGCTCCAAAGAGAGCCCCAAGAGAGCTCCGAAGACGGCTCAAACACAAGCCAGCAGGGGGCTCAGAAGAGCTCATAAAGGGCACCCGACAGGTGCTTAGGGGGGTTCGTTGTAGCACCCGTGGGGGCTTCGTTGGGAAGGCTCCAGACTAGCGCAAGAGGGCACCAAGACTCCCCAAATAGCACCAAGAGAGCCCCAAGACCGCCCTAGACAGTACTGTCTCCCCCCTTGGGAGGGCGCATGCTGCTACACAGTTCTGATCAAGGCAACTCCTCTGGCGATTGCTTTTAGATGGGCTGATGGGGCCAGCGGCCTCCGGAAGAGGGGCGTGCGAGCTTCACGGACCCTCCAGCGCCTCCAGCAGCAGCGTCGCGGGCGGCCCCCGCGAGGGAGGCGGGCGAACCCTCTGGGCCGCCCCCGGCGGCGCCCTCAGGAGCAGCGGCAGCGCGGCCAGCGGCCCCCGAGGAGGGTCGGGCGAGCCCCACGGGCCGCGCCCAGCGCTCCCAGCAGCAGCGTCGCGGGCGGCCCCCGCGAGGGAGGCGGGCGAGCTCTCCGGGTCGCCGAGGCTACTGCGGCCGCCACCGTCGCAGGGTTCGCGATTTGTGTCCATGAAAATCTTGACGCAAGTCTCTCCGGGGACGCCAGCAGCGCGGCCAGCGGCCTCCGGAGGGGGGGCGTGCGAGCCCCACAGGCGCTTCCAGCGCCTCCAGCAGGGCGCAATACGGCCCGTAAGACAATCCTAGAAGCTCCAAAGACGGGCAAAGCGGCCCCACGAACGGCCCAAGATGGCTCCAAGATGGCCCAACAAATGATTTCTGAGGGCCTCGAATCCAACTCCCTGGCGGGGAGTTGGATTTCGTTGCTTCCATGGACCGGCTTGGGGCGCAAGACGGCCCGCAAGACAGCCCTAGAAGCCCCAAAGACGGCCAAGGCGGCCCCACGAACGGCCCAAGATGGCTCTAAGATGGCCGAACCAATGGTCTCTGAGGGGGGCGAATCCAACTCCCTGGCGGGGAGTTCGATTTCGCGGCTGCCATGGGCCAGGTTGGGGCCCAAGACGGCCCGCAAGAAAGTCTTAGAAGCCCCAAAGACGGCCAAAGCGGCCCCACGAACGGCCCAAGATGGCTCCAAGATGGCCCAACAAATAATCTCTGAGGGCTCTGAAACCAACTCCGCGGCGGGGAGTTGGGTTTCGTTTCTCTCGTGGGCCGGTTTGGGGCCCAAGACGGCCCGCAAGACAGCCCTAGAAGCCCCGAAGACGGCCAAGGCGGCCCCGCGAACAGCTCAAGATGGCTCCAATATGACCCGACAAATAATCTCTGAGGGCCCCGAAACCAACTCCCCGGCGGGGAGTTGGGTTTCGTTGCTCCCATGGGCCGGCTTGGGGCCCAAGACGGCCCGTAAGGCAGCCCTGGATGCTCCAAAGACGGCCAAAGCGGCCCCACGAACGGCCCAAGCTGGCTCCAAGATGGCCCAACAAATAATCTCTGAGGGCCCCGAATCCAACTCCCTGGCGGGGAGTTGGATTTCGCTGCTCCCATGGGCCGCCTTGGGGCCCAAGACGGCCCGCAAGACAGCCCTAGAAGCCCCAAAGACGGCCAAGGCGGCCCCACGAACGGCCCAAGATGGGTCCAAGATGGCCGAACCAATGGTCTCTGAGGGCTCCGAATCCAACTCCCCGGCGGGGAGTTCGATTTCGCGGCTCCCACTTGGGGTCCAATACGGCCCGTTTTGAGGGGCGCTCAAAAGGAACAGCTCCGGGCTCTCTGCGTCGGCTCGTGTGTTGACAGAGAGACGTTGAATCGAAGGACGATGTCCGTAACCATTTGTGCTCGAGAGTTGCAGTGGCACACGCTTCGACAGGGACCGCTTTCTGGCGATCGAGGTTTCCACAGCGGAGGGCGCTACCAGCATGGCGCCGAAGGCTCAGACGTTCTTTCTCTCGGACGTTGTGGCCATGTGCAGACGCGGGATCCCGGAGAACCTCATCCGCGACGACTTGAAGGCACGTGGTTGCTCGAAGTCGCGCGTGTCCCAGCTCATACGGGACGCTCGCTTGGCTGGCGCGTTGCCGGTCGCGTCGCCTACCAAGAGCAGGGGCGCGGCCGCCGCAGCGCCACCGGCGAGGGAGCAAGAGCAGCAGGTCGCGGAGGACAGAGCGGCGGAGGACGCGGGCGCGCTGCCGCCGCGTGGCCGGGGCACAGGCGCGGCCTCCAGCGCCCAATCACCGGCAGGCGCCGCGCAGATCGGCTTCGGGGACATGGCGGTGGAGATGGACAAGGACGACGAGGGGATCTGCTCTGGCACGGCGACCCCGGTTCTGAACGACGGCGGCTCCGAGGAGTTCGACGACGATGTGATGTTCTTGGGGGGCGGCACCGCGACGCCGATCCTAGTCGACGACGCCGACGATGCCTCGGCGGAGGGGAGCGCAGACGAGGAGATTCCGGACGCGGTGATGTTGCACGACTTCGCGGTTGCGGCGCAGAACCATTGCATCGTGGAGAGCGGGGTCGAGAAGTTCTTCAACGTGGAGCCCGACGTGGACGAGGGCGACGGCTCCGAGGGCGCCGAGAACGACAGCGACGTGGACGAGCATGGCAACGTAGAGGCCGGGGCGACAGGAAGGGAGATCGGCTCGGGGGGACTACCGATGGGAGAGGCGGGCTGGGTCGGAGTTCAAGGGCGGCCGCCGTCCCCAGGAGCAGCTGTTTCGAATTCGGGGATGTCGATGGGGCCGATGGGGGTCACAATGCCGAGTGGCACTCATCGTGAGTCCTCCTGAGCAAATCTCCCGGTCCTTGTGTCCCATGCAAAGGGGCTGATCAATGACAACGACGGCGTTGAGAAGCGGGAGGTCACCGACGTGCTCATGGCGGAGAAGAGCGACGCGGGTTGTGCTGGGGCGGAGGAAGCACCGCGGCCGCCAGAGCCGCATCCAGCAGAGCAGGTTCGGCGGCGCATCACAGGCAAGCGGGCTCTCCAGGTTGTGCAGGAGCAGGGGCCGCTCCTGGCTCATGCCCGCGTTGCAGTGGCGGCCCCCATGAAGCGGCCGGCGAGGAAGCGGTTTCAGTGCCACGTGTGCCCGTTCCCTACATGCATGTTTTCGATGGTCGCACCAGGCGCGGCGGCGCGGACGAACAAGAGAGAGCCGTGTGCGTTCTGCTCTCCGGAGAAAATGAGGAAGGCTTTGTCGGAGCCGCGCGGACGCGGCATCGTCACCCGATCCCTGCGGGCTTTTCTGCGAGCGGATCGCCGGGATGTGTTCGACGCGGCGCTGCAGCGGTTGCCCAGCGACGAGGAGAGGGACAAGTTCAGGAAGGCTTTGAGGCGCAAGACGCGGAACAAGGATGCCGCTGCGCAGAGCAGCAGGGAGAATATGCGGAGACTTCAGTCTCTCATGGATAACCGCGTCGCAGTGACTCCAGCGCTCACAGACGAGCAGCGGGCTGACTACGAGGAGAACGTCAAGGACGACAAGAGGCGGTTCAAGAACAAGTTCAAAGCTGTGCAGCAGGCGCGGGACCGGGAGGACGACTCGTGGCGCTCGGAGGCGGCTGTGAAGCTGGAGCAGTGGTGCCGGGAAGGAGCGTGGGTGCAGTGCGAACAGTGCAAGCGCATGGAAAAGCGGCCTCTACGACCCGCGAACATAGAGGGCCAGACGCGCACTTGGACGACGAAGAAATACAAGCACTGCAAAACGGGCGTGGGGTACCCGACTGTCTCCTTGGAGGACATCCCGACGGTGCTCCGCCAGCTGCCGGAAGATGTTTTGTGGGCTTTGCGGCCCCTGGAGCCTTTCTGCGGCGAGTACGTCCGGGCCCAGCATGGGTATCGAGTGCACACGGACATGATTCGATTCTGGTGGCGTCCTGTCTCCGTGTCCCAGCAGATTAACCAGCTGAAGCACTCGGAGCAGCGCCGACGTGCCCGCGAGGCGTATGAGTTCCTCATGGCGTCCCAGCAGTCCTCCTACAAGAAGTTCACAGAGATGCACGCTGCTTTCCGCCGGAAGCACGCGGAGGTACTCACGGGCGCAGCGGGCGACATGCGATTGCAGCTACCCCGAAGAGGAATGGAAGAGGAGGGCATCGAGTGCGCTGTTTGGCCGCACCTGTATCCTCGGACCAACATGTGCGAGACGCACGTCCGCTTGTCGGACTCTCGCAGGAAGGACGCGAGGAAGCGGAAGAAGGAAAGCTTCACGGACTCAAGCGACAGGGAGAGCGATTCAGAGAAGGATTCCAATGACGGAGCGGGCGACGGGCCGCGCGATCCTAGTGATTTTGCCAAGAGCAACAGGAACTCGGCGAAGGCGTCGTTCCTGGCGAAGGTGCTCGGCCCCGTCATCGGCTACGGGTCGGACATGGAGCTCGTGCAGTTCGTGTACGATCTTTGGCTGTGGTCCTCGCTTGGCAGCAAGCGGAACGCACTTTCGGGGCAGATGCCGATGCGCCTGGCCGTGGGGGGGCACAGCTTCACTCCAGAGTACTGGAAAGTCCGACATGATGCTCTCATCGACGCAGTGAAGCAATTGGGGCTGCCTTCGCTGTTCATCACCGTATCGCCGTATGAGTGGTCGTTTCCTTGCGCGAATTGGGTGGAGGACGAGATGGCAAAAGAGCTGCGCTCGAAGACGCATCTGCCAGTGGCGGAGACCTTGCATATTGCGCACGTCTTGGGGCAGGTCGTGGAGGGCTTCCTCACGGGCGCGAACAGCACCAGAGCGCTGAGGCGATGGAAGCAGCACGTGTTCGGCCCGAAGGACGGCAGCGGGAAGAGCACGGTACGCGCACATTTTGCCAGAGCGGAGTTCCAAGACGGCAAAAGGAAACGGTACGTTGGTGAGCACGAGGCGGCTGCCCAATTTTATCACGGGCGCGGCACTGTGCACATCCACCTACTCGTCTGGCTGGAAGACGAGCCGCGCATCGAGCTGGAGAAGATCATTGCCGCCACGTCCCCGGACGACAATCCGCAGGTGAAGGCGCTGGTGGAGGGCTCCCAGAGATCATGCACTGGGAGCGGGTGGCCTGTGCGCGATGAGGCGTCCTCCTACGACGCGGGGACAGGTGCGCTGCGTCTGCACCACTCCAAGTCGGACCACATGCGGCGCAATAAGAAGGGCGACCCAGAGGGTGTTCGCGCGTACGTCATCGACGTGCTCACCGCCCTGTACTGCCACGTGGACGTCCTCAGCACTGACAAAGTGGGTATGCTTTTGAGGTATGTGACTTCGTACGTCCCGAAGTTCTCAGATTCGTTCTGCGACGAGTGGTTGGCGGACCAGGCGAGCGACTACTCCATCGCGCGCAGGGTGCTGACGGATTACCACCCGCTGGAGCCGGAGATGGTTCTGCAGCTGGCCATGCAATGGTTTCCGCAGACATTCTCGAGCGGGTCCTTTCGAAAGTTCATTGTTCCAGTGCCGTGGGAGAAGGCCGAGCTGCCCGCCATAGTGCAGGAGTACATGAAGTCGCCGTGGCGCGGCAGGGACATGTCTCTCATGGAGTACATGCGGAAGGCGAACACGGACGGAAAGATCCAGCATTGGATTCGGCGGGAGCACAAGAAGCACGTGGAGGAGAAGCCGGACGGCGCCCGAGGTCGCGTCGCCGACTTGGAGGAGTTCGCGCGCAAGGTAGTTTCCAAGGGAGACACGCTCATCGCAGCCAGCTACCTGTCGCGGTACGGGGACAGGTATTACGGCCAGTGGGTGCTGTTGCATGTGCCGTTCTGCACGGTCGACGATCTGTGGCGACCAGAGTTGGAGCGCGTGCCGGACCACTTGCGGAACCAGGCACTGGCGCTGCTTCACCGCCCTGACATCTGGCGCAACGCGGAGAAGATCCGGGAAACGTTGGAGTTGGAAGCCTTCCGCGAGCACCACATTGCGAACATTACTGCCATGCTGCAGGCGCACGCAAGTCTCATAGACAAGTACATGTTCGGTGAATTGTCGAGGGAGGAGTACGCGGTGGACCACTACGAGAATGGCGTCGAGGGCGATCGAGAGATCTACGTGCCGACGAAGCAGCAGGAGAACGTCACGAACACCATCGTGAACCGCGTCTGGGCGAACATGGAGGCGAGGGCCGCCACGGAGGACGAGTGGCGCGGTGAAGGCCAGGCGGAGCACGTACCCAGCGACCAGGAGGACATGGACTGGCAGCGCGGCGTGAAGGAGATGGCGGCGTCCGTGAGCAGGTTTTGCCCAGAGCGCCGAGCAATCGCTGTCCTGGGTCCTGCAGGCAGCGGGAAGACAACGGCAGTGGAGCACGCCGTGGAAGAGTGCGTTGCTCATGGTGCACGTGTGCTCATTGTGGCGCCTACGGGGCGACTGGCTGCGACGTACCGTGCCAAGTACCCGCACCTGGACGTGGACACCATACACGGCGCTTTCATGTTGTTCAAGCCCGAGCAGCAGACGCTGGAGCTTATGATTCCCTACGACTTAGTGATTGTGGAGGAGGTGGGGCAGCTCTCGCGGTGGATTTTCGAGAGGCTCATCACGCTGTGGCGCGCCGCTCAGACGCACCCCACGCTCGTGTTTCTCGGAGATTTCTTCCAGCTGCCTGGCGTGGAGCAGACAAGCGCACGCGACAGCCCACTGCGGCGCAGCGCCTGCATGCAGAGGATGAGCTTGTTCGAGATGATCCGCTGCAAGTGCAGTGTCCTGCGGAAGAAGTTAGAGATGCTCCGGACGGCGAAGCCGAGCGCGGCCCAGAGGAGGTTCATCCTGCGTGGTCACAAGGCGCCGACGGCAGCTTGGTACGAGGCGGAACAGGAGCCATCGGTAGAGGACATGAGCCGGGCGCTGGACGAGACTCCGAACACGTTGTTTTTGACGGTGACGAGACGGGCGTGCGCTCACGTCAATTCCGCGGCCGTGCAGCACTTCTTCGCCGACGCGGCGCCTATCGCGGTGCTCCCAACAGAGCGGTGCTCCCAACAGACCCCGAGAGCAATCCTGAGGCTTACGCTGGGGCGAAGATGGTTGGCAGTGCAGCGTTGGAGACCTCTGTGTTCGAGAACATGCGCGTCGTGTTGACGAAGAACCTGAACAAGGAGGCGGGCTACGTGAACGGCATGGGCGGCGTCGTAGTGGGCTTGACCGGAGATGCCGTGGTGGTCCGCACAGACCAGGGGCGTCTCATCAGCGTGTATCCGTGGACTTCGGAGAAGCACGTGGTGCACTATCCCATGCGGCTCGGGTACGCCACGACGCTGCACAAGGTCCAGGGAGCTACGCTGAACCACGTGACCTTGTGGCTCGACCTCGCGGGGATGCCCGCCGCCGCGTACGTCGCGCTCTCGCGCGTGCGGCGGGGCGCAGATTGGAGGATCATGGGGCAGACCACTGTGCACCATTTCACGCCGGCGCAGGGGTGAGGTGAGTGCAGCGCTTCGTGTGCGACAGGAGGTGGACACTGCGCGGCGGTGAGGCCGTCAGACACGCGGCAGGCACGGTGGCGGCACGTGCGGAGCCTCGCCAGAGTCTCCGCTGGAGGAAGCCATAGAAAAACCATCGTCGTCTCCCGTGCCGTCATTCGGGCGGGGCGCTCCAGATGGGTAGGAAAGCTACGGGGGATGCTCAGGTGCCGACGGCTGTGCCGACGGCTCTGCGCGTCTTGCAAGGTCGACTCAGAGATTCCGACTGTCAGTGCGCCGTCACGGTTCCAAGCACTGCGGAGTGGTGGTCGCTGTAGATAGACGCCCGCGCGCCGGACAGGCGTGAGCGTTTTGCATGAGGCGCTGAAAGATTCGGAGGTGCGAGTTCGCTCTCGGCATCTAGCTCGCGTAAGGTCGTGCCCAGATAGTCAGACCGCCTGCGTGAGAGATCCAGCAAGGTGCGGTGGGTGGGTAGAGTGGCGCAGAGATTCGGAGGTGCGAGTTCGCCCTCGGCATCTAGCTCGCGTAAGGTCGTGCCCAGATAGTCAGATCGCCTGCGTGAGAGATCCAGCAAGGCGCGGTGGGTGGGTAGAGTGGCGCAGAGGGGCAGGGGCTTTGTGGTGTCAGAGCGCCCACGGAGAACATCTAGAGATATGCGGTGCGTGGGTAGAGCGGCAGAGGGAAGAAGGGGGAGACGTCGGGTAGTTGGAATACCCAGCACGGCGTATGCGTAAGGGAGCGCTGTCGCCGCTGACCTTCTCATAGTTCCCGACGATTCGCGGTGCGGCCCAGAACCCATCGGCGAGGCGCAGCCGTGCTCTCGGCCGCGAGCTTCTGACGAAGAGGCTCCTGGTCGAGAAGGGCTTCCGCGCGGTTGTCGCCGCTTCGCTACGACAGATCCGTGAGTTTGAAACATCGGGGAGCACCAGCAGCGAGGCGGCGACGGGCGCGCGGAAACCCAGGGGGCCAGTGTCCAACCTCCACGTGGTGGCCCCTGGGGAAGCGAACTAGGGCGGAGCCGCATCCGTAAAGGCCCAGCCCGCGCTGGTTCGTTTCGCGAAGGACACCATCTAGAGATATGCGGTGCGTGGGTAGAGCGACAGAGGGAAGGAGGGGAGTCGTCGGGTAGTTCGAATACCCAGCACGACGTATACGTGAGGGAGCGCTGTCGACGCTTCCGCCGACCCTCTCATAGTCCGACGATTCGCGGTGCGCCCCAGAACCTAACGGCGAGGCGCAGCCATGCTCTCGGCCGCGAGCTTCTGACGAAGAGGCCCCTGGTCGAGAAGGGCTTCCGCGCGGTTGTCGCCGCTTCGCTACGACAGATCCGCGAGTTTGAAACATCGGGGAGCACCAGCAGCGAGGCAGCGACGGGCGCGCAGAAACCCAGGGGGCCAGTGTCCAACCTCCACGTGGTGGCTTCTGGCGAAGCGTACTAGGGCGGGGCCGCATCCGTAAAGGTCCAGCCCGCGCTGGTACGTTTCGCGAAAGACTTCCAGGCGCTCCCAAGCGCTCCCAAGCGCTCCCTGGCGCTCCCAGGCGCTCCCTGGCGCTCCCAGGCGCTCCCAGGCGCGCCCAAGCGCTCCCAAGCGCTGCCAGGCGCTCCCTGGCGCTCCCAGGCGCTCCAAGGCGCTCCCAGGCGCTCCCGTCGCATCCAAGCGCTCCTCGGCGCTCCCAAGCGTTCCCAGGCGCACAACGAAGTGTTTGGGAAATCCCAAGCGCTCCCAGGCGCTCCAAGGCGATCCCAGGCGCTTCCTGGCGCCCCCACGCGCTCCAAAGCGCTCCACGGCGCTTCCCGGCGCTCCCAGGCGCTTCCAAGCGTTTCCAAGCGCTCCCTGGCGCTCCCTGGCGCTCCCAAGCGCCCCTGGGCGCTCCCTGGCGTTTCGAAGCGCTCCCAGGCGCTCCCAGGCGCTCCCAAGCGGTCCCGGCGTGTTCCCGTGCGCTCCGAGGCTCCCAGACGCAACCAAGCGCTCCTTGGCGCTCCAAGGCGCTCCTGGCACGCTCCCAGCGCTCCTGGCACGCTCCCAGGCGCTCCCAGGCGCTCCCGGCACGCTCCCAGGCGCTCCCGAGCGCTCCCAAGCGCCCCCAAGCGCTCCTAGGCGCTCCCAGACGCTCCAGGCGCTCCCAGGCGCTTCCAAGCGCTCCCGACAATCCCAGGCGCTCCCTGGCGCTCCCAGGCGCTCCCAGGGGCGCTCCCAAGCGCTCCCAGACGTTCCCAGGCGCTCCCAGGCTCTCCCAAGTGCGCCCAGAAGCGCTTAGAGCGTTCCACACGTGTTTTCACGTGTCGGAGACATGTAGAGCGCCATCAGAGGACGAAAGTTCCCGGGTTTAGGGTGTTGTATTCTTCGAGGATCAAGCATGGTTTATCTTTGCATCGTAGATCCCCAAGCGTGGGGTCAGGTAGCCCTAGGCTACCAGGACGACCCAGTCGGGCAACCAGCTGAAGCATCTCAGAGAAGCCCTGTCTCTCGTGGACGGCGACGGTGATGCGCGGTGGGTGGGTAGATGCACAACGAGGTGCTTGGGAATTTAGGGCCTGCATTGGCGCAAGCGCGCGCTGGCTGCGATCCCCCCCACATCAAGGTTGTTGGGGGGGATCGCTGCCCAAGCCGCGCGCGCCACGGTTAGTCGCACTCCCGCCCCAGACCACCCAGAGTGAAGCCTTTTAGGGTTTAGGGTTTCTCCCCCCAACCCCCCTATCACGGGGGGCTGTCGAAGTGGCGCGCGCAGGCGATCGCCGACGCGGCCGTGGCACTGCGCATCCACTTGAGCATGCGCGCAGGGCGCGTGACGTAGGCGCGTCGGCTCGTCGCCCGTCGAAGAGGCAGCCTTTGGCGATTTCGGCGTTGAGCTTCGCCGTTGGGCTGCCGCTGGCGCAGCATGTCCATGCGTTGCTGCATGTGCCTTCGGCACTGGGTTGCGACACTGGGCTGTGAATGTTGGGATGCGCGCGTGCGGCCGCGGCCGTAGCAATGCGCGCCGATGCGAGCACGCGCGCAGGGTGCATGGCGCTGGCGCGTCAGGTCGCCTCGTCGATGAGGCAGCCGGTTGCGCCTTCGGCGTGGAGCTTCGCCGGTGGGCTGCCTCTGGCGCAGCAGTTCCACAGGGGTCCGGCATTTGCCTTCGGCATTGGGCAGCAGCACTGCGAAGGCGCTGGCGCGGGAATCCCATGGTTTCCCGTGGGCCTGGAGCGAGTGGCTGCGCCGTCGGGCTCCTCGCTGACGGCGACGCGCACGGCAGTTACATTCGCCCGCGGCTTTGGGTTTCGCCTTTGGGGTCGCTCCCCCGCTGAAGCGATTGCAATCATCGACGCAGCCGCCTTCGGCGCGAGCTTCGGACGGCTGGAGGGGGAGCGCGAGGGGGTGGGTCTGACACCTCCTCGCTACGATGCGCGCGCATGGCTGCGACAGCACCGCCATGGCAGAGCCCGTGGAATTCCTTGGGGGGGCTCTCTGGCAGCGCTGGGAGAGCGCCTGGAGCTTCCCCCTGGGACCGCCTGGAACCGCCTGGGCAAGCTTGGGAGCGCGCGGGAGCGCATGGGAGCGCCGCGTGGCGCCTTGGGTGCTTCAGAGCGCGCGGGACTGCTTGGGCGCCTGGGAGCAACTGGGGGCGCCAGGGAGCGCTTAGGAGCGCTTCGGAGTCGTGGCAGCGCTGGGAACGCTGGAGAGCGCCTGCGAGCGCCTGGGACCGCGCCAGGAGCGTGCCGGGAACGCTTGGGAGCGCCTGCGAGCGCCTGGGAAGCGCTTGGGGGCGTGCCGGGAGCGCTTGGGAGCGCCTGGGAGCGCAGCCAGCGCGCGCCTGGGAACGCGCTTGGGTGCATGCCGGGAGCGCTTGGGAGCGCTTGGGAGCGCCTGGGGGCGCTTGGGAGCGCCTGGGAGCGCCGGGGAGCGCGTGGGAGCGTGCCGAGAGCGCCTGGGAGCGTGCCGGGAGCGCCTGAGGCGCCGTGGAGCGCTTGGGAGCGTGCGTGCCGGGAGCGCTTGGGGAAGCTTGGAAGCGCTTGGGAGCGCCTGGGAGCGCTTGGGAGCGCCTGGGAGCGCCTGGGAGCGCCTGGGAGCGCCTGGGAACGCCTGGGAGCGCCTGGGGGCGTGCCGAGAGCGCCTGGAGCGTCTGGAAGCGCTTGGAGCGCAGCATGCGGTAATTTCATAGGTTTGGAGCACCCAGGGAGCGCCGCATGCTGCATTTTCATAGGTTTGGAGCCCCAGGGATAGCATCGGCCAGCGGGGGAGCCACTGGCTAGGGCTGAGGGTTAGGGGTTCTTTTTCTTAGGAGAACACCACGGGGATGCACCGCGCGGCGTGCGAATTCCTCCTCAGCGGCTATCGCCGCTTCGTCGGTGCGGCGAACGCCGTATGGGCAGGCTCGCTGAGCGCTCGGCCAGACGCCACGGGCTTCTGACGATGCACCGCCCGTGGCTTGCAGTTTAGGGTTTAGGGTTTAGGGTTTAGGGTTTAGGGTGTCCTCTGTCAGCGCTTGCTGATCATCATTCGTGTAAGACCACCCCCACCCATAAAATGGAGTGGGGGTGGGGTAGTCGTGTTGTGGTGACATCATGTTGAGCGGAATCATGTTTCGGCTACGGGGCCAGCTCCCCTTTTCACATTCCCACCCCGCGCCCGTTAGGGCGGCGAACCACCCACGGCTTTCTCTATTAGGGTTTAGGGTTCATTTGGTAGTCGAGCTTCTCTTTCTTAGGGCTCCACGATTCCAATCGGTTTGGCGTTCTTTCTCATGTGTACGGCATACAGTGCTTTGTGTATCACACGTACACAGATACCTTCTTGGGTCTAGATATGCGCAATCCGGGGTTTAGGGTTGACGCTTTACGTCGGGGGAAAGGGGTTTGGGGTGAAACGCCGTGCGGGCGTTTGATTGTGCGCTTGTGGCGCCGGCTCCGCTCGCTCCGCTCGCTCCGCCGATACCGCTCCTCTTGAACTGCAACATCCAGCTGGCGCGCCCAGGCGCGCCCAGAGCCCTGGGCGCCTGCCAAGTCACCGTGGCGG